CGATACCTTTTTTGAGTACTGGCCAAGTCCACCATGCCAATCTAATGATCATCTCACCTAACACATAATCCTCACCCTGTCCCTGCCCCTATCCCTGTCCCTTGTCTTGGCACCAAAGACCAGCTCCATGTGTTCAAAGTCCCTCTGGATGCTGGTTACAATTTTATCTTCAAAGCACAGTGCATGAGGGCACGGTCCCTACTCCCTGCTGACTACCGAATTTTCTCTCCCTCTCCTGCTCATTATAGAAGCTTCCTGCACTGATCAAAGAACAGCCAAAACTCTTCTCCTCTATTCAGTCTGGATTCAGAACTCATGAAAGTTATTTCTGTCATTACTCTTTCTTCTCTCTCCATCTTGCCCTGTGTTCTTAACAAGTCCTATCTTTGTCCCAACAATGTATATTTATTTATTCTGGTCTTGTTTGTAAGTCTGCCATCCACGCCCCAGCTAATGCCACACTTGTGTCACTTGTGTAGGTGCATCTAGACCTCTGCACTGTCTTCAGTGTTAACTCCCTGGTGACCAGGACACTTCACAGGGGTCCCCTCCTTCAGCTGCCTGCCATGTGTCATTAGCCCTAACTCTCTCTGGGGATAACCCAGGAAAATATGGCCTCCTAATACCCCCGCAGATATAAACAGGAAATAGAGAAAAACACACAGAGACACGCATGCACACACATGTGTACTCAAACCCACATACACAGGTATATGTCAAACACTATCAGGCAGGCATGACTCTTTCTAGTACTAACTCACTCAGAGCCATTGATTCCAGCCCAGTTTCTGTGTAAAGCAAAACTCTACCAACAAAAGGAATGAAATGTTCTGGGTCTAGGGGAAGAAGGCTTTTCACTAACCTTACAGCCTATAAATATAGAATGTCAGAAAGTGCTATGTGCAGACCCCATCCTCTCCAACGCCCTGCACGACCACGATGTCCTACTAGGCAATAAAAAGTACAGAACATTTCATATCATTGGTTTCAAAAAGTTATAAGGAACCAATTATCCCGCGGAGCTGTCACTAGGATATAGAGTTCCTCTTGGAAATTCCAATTTTCCTTTTGGGCACAATTCAAAACAGACAGAGGGCAAAGAAAAAAATCAATACTGGAAATGTCAGAGATTTTTCCGGCCAGTGCCTCGTGGAAATCTATCCAGGCTTCTGCAGATCAAAAAGCCTGGCTTCTCTGTGTGCAGACCCAAGATAAACACTGTGTTTCTACCTGCTTTCCCTTGCCCTTGCCTCGGGTCATTTTCATTATTCTCCATGGGGAATATTCTTCTTGCAAATCTTACTTTAAAGCTGTAAAATGTTCACTTGCAAAAGCAGAACCACAGAGCTGGCTCTGCCTCAGTGAGCTGAGTTGGGGGCTGGAGTCCCAGAGCTGGCAGACCACGGTGTTGAATGCAGGTACCCAGAGGTGGCTATCAGAGTCTCACACTCAGGAGCCCTGCACCCCAAGGAACACACTCTTCACCCTCCCCAGAAACTGCATCCTTGCGTTTGGTGACTACCCCACAAACTCATCTGTCCCAAACAGAGGAGCAAGTTTTCTGGAATCTCTTCTGATTTTCCTTCCTGAAACTAGAATTGGTAGTTGGATGGGAAGGTAAGCATGCCTCTGTGGCCTGAATTTCCCCCATGATGTGAAGGTTCTTTCTGCAGAGGCAGTGGCTTTGGTACTAGCTTCTTCTCAAGCAATGTCTGGAACCAGGCTTTCTAAACCGGAAATGACCTTCTCAGCTGGGGCCACAGCCAGGCCCACCTACTCTGTCATTGTTTGCTCACTCACTATCTTTCTTAAATCAAACCACTTTGTAAAACACGTAAGTTAAACATAGGAGGTGCAGTATCACCTGGTTTCTCCAGTACGAGAGATCCAGGTATAAATAATTAAACAATAAAATAAAAGAGACATGTTAAGAGACAGGGAGATAGACTGTAAAAAAGACAGGTGGATCAAGGAAAGAAGGGGGAGTAAAAAAGCTCAAGATGCAATATATATTATCATTTCCCCAAGGCAAATGTCTGTATCACAAACATATACCAATACATTCTTTTTAAAAATAAAATTGCAATAAAAATTAAAATACCACTGCTTTTAAAAGGATATGTCACCATGAGTTGCCATGAGTAGACTGTCACTCGATAAGCAATGCAGTACCAGCAAAATAATGTTATGAAACCCTAACTAGAGTGCCCCCAGCTGAAGCCATCAAATTCAAGGTCCTCTCCCTCTTCTTGAAACAAGGGATACTGTCAACTCCTGGAGACAATGGCAGCTAGCACATGCCTATGATCTCAGCACTTGGGAGGCTGAGGCAGGAGGATCATTGCAAGTTCAAGATCAGCCTGGGCTACAACTGAGTTCAAGGCCAGCTTGAACTGCATAGCAAGACCCGGCTCAAAAAGACAAAAAAAAAAAAAAAAGACAATGGCACAGCCCAACACTCTCTCTGGCACGAACATACGGGCTAAAGGAAAATGGGGCCACAGTTTCTAATCACAAGCTTTCATGATCTTTAATGCCACTGTAAATGTCACCTACAATCACTTCAAGTATCTTTGATGACCAATTCCTGCCACTCTCCTAAGAATCCACTATACACTTACAAACAGCAGGGAACCAAAAATTTAAATGACTACAAAAGGTTCCGCATCCTCATGAATCTTAAGAACCGCTACATTTTGGAAAATACTGTCTGGGAGAGCTTTCTTTCCAGTCTAGCACCTCACATAAGGAAAACCTCAGACTCAAAATTACGAAAACCAGTCCCCGCCTCCAGCCCCAGAGAGACCCGACAGTTCACCCAGCAGCTCCCCTGATGTTGCTGCTGATAAGAAACAAGTGGTTATTAGTTTCTAAGTATCTGGCATGCCTCGCAAGCAGTATTAACCACCTCTGCAAACCTCAAGGCTCCAGATCAACAAGTCCCCACCCAAAGGCCCCTCCAAATCCCCCCAAAAAACACAACTGACATTTAAAACCTGACTGAAACCACAGGACACTGTCTCTTTCAAAGGTCAAGGAGGAAGGCAGGACGGCCCAGCAGGTAACTTTAGGACTGATTGAAAAACCACTTCCCTGGGGCTGGCTTTGAAATCCATCCATCCAGACTGTGAGGGAAGAGCGTGAGGCCCGAGACTGGCCTTTGAGGCAAGAGCAACTGAAATGATTCACATTTGTGACTAATTATCTCTTCCTTCATCTTCATGTGTCTCTCTCCCTGAACAGAAGCTGTTTCCAAGCAGCGGAGACAGATGACCTGAGTGAAGTCCAGGCTTCTGTTGAGTTTTGGTAGATTTCAAGGGGCCGTTTTCTGGTGTATTTGTGTGTGAGTACATGCGTGCAAAGGCATACACACACATGAGCATTTTTCCCCATTGATTTTCATCATTCTTTGTAAAATGCACATACAATGTTACACTTCTTGAATCTTGGGAAGAAAAATATTAAGAGGATGCCTATATTGTTTTCCAACCTATAATCCCTTTAAAGTGTCTTAAATATATGCTTCACTTGGACACAAAATCATAAAAACCAACCTGAAACCAAGATTTTACATATTTTTGCATTACTTTACCATTAAAAGGGATGGATTACACCGTGGACTAACATGTGGGCACCCACACAAATTTAATAACACCATTACTCTCCCTTACTCTGCTTGTCACTAAGCACTTTATTAACAGGTTTGTCCTCACAATAGCCCTCTAAGGATAGCTCGTATTTTTACCCACATTTTCCACAAAGAACTAAAGCAACTCACAACTCGGAAGGGTGAGGCTGGGCCCTGAACCCAACTAGTCCACCTCGGAGGTCCGTGGTCTTGACCACTAACTATGCTGTCCTTACACAGTAGGTGTGTTATTTCATGTTGCCATACAGTGTACCTGTAAGGTAGGCCATGTTTTTATTCCCATGTTATAGGTGAGGAAACCGAAGCACAGGGAGTAGAGGCAGCATGCCCAAGACCACTCAGCAAATGAGGGAGAGGTGGGGACTCTAGCTTCTCGGAGATGTTACCCTGTTAGTGACTCACGGTCATCCTGCATTCCCTTGCAGGCCTCTCATCAGACTCAGGAAAGCAGTTTTTGCCTGTGGATTACAGTGTCCTCTAAGGGGACCTGAAACCTTGAACTCATCAGCCCCAATAACAATAGCGCGTGGGCAGGAAGGATGTTAGACAGTAGGCTCCAAGTCTGTCTTTAACAAAGGGATCAGGAGGCGCCATGACAATAGGTAACCTAGCTAACAGGGGCATAACTCACCCCAATTAAATACCATCCCAGTGGTGGGCGGGAATTTCCTTAGACATCAGTTCTCTCAGTGTGGTTCCCTCCAGGGCATCCTCTGAGCCCTCTTGAGGGCTCACATAGTCAAAACTATTTTCTCGGTAATGCTGAGCTGCTTTTGCTTTTCTCTCCCTTCTCCTGGCCCACACAGTGGAGTTTTTCAGAGAAAAGTGATGTGTGAAGTCAGAACAGACTGGATGTGAAGCAGACAGGTGAACCCAGCTGTCTTCTATGCACAGAGGTTTGCAAACACACAAAATGATGCCACTCTTTTTACTATGGTTTTTGTCCTTAAAATCTTACTTTTCATAAGTGGTACTTATGCTATTGTGAAAACAGGCTTAAATAATTATTTAAATGAATGATTACATACTTAAAGCTTTTTGTACTTGGTTTCTAACACTATCACAAAGGCAGATGACATAACCCAAATAAGCAGTAATTTTAAGAGTGAAAAAGGGTCCCGGGACTTCAAACCCAAAAACCACCACAAAGGTGTGTCATCTCCACGTAATGCAAAGACACAGTCTCCCAGTCCCCTCTGTAGTCGCTGCCCTACACTGCTTAGCACTAGGTGGAGACTCAAGATGTGTCACTGTGAGGGCTAAAGGACCGTCCTGTGTTCAGTCTCACCATTCCTTCTCATATAAAGACCCACATGCATGAAATGACAGATGCTCAGACCCACCTGCTTACCTGGAAATAGTCTGTGATGAATGATCCCAGTTCACTCTTCAGCAGCCGCCTGGGGAGAGACAAACACCGTCAAACAGCCCTTGGTGGCTCAGCTCATGGTGACCAGTGCCCAGGGCAGGACAGGACAATGGCAAAGTGCTTAGCAGCACAAGGCATAGGGGCTGAGGCCAGCCTGAAGAAAGGAGCTTGCTTTCCTAGGCTCTAGTGATAACCTCCACCCAAATGTCATCACAGCAGAGGAAAGCCTAGAAGGAAATGTGCTACTAAAGTCACACTGAGGATGTGACCACCGGACCAGGACAGCCACAGGAAATGCTAACCTCACACAGTTGACTGGGGCAGGTCAATGTACCTGGTTTTGTATAAAGCACAAACAAAACAAGCAAAAAAAAAAAAAAAAAAGAAAGAAAGAAAGAAATGAATGAATGAATGAAAGAAAAAAGAGAAAGAATACCGTTGTGCAATCTTCCACATTTACAAGGCACTTTATGCCTTGACAATACATTTCTCATACATTCTCCAGCCAAGGATTTCAAGTCTTTATGCGAGAAGGTACAGTTATCACTCCTATACAGATAAAGAAACTAGAGATCCAAGTAATGGCAGAGTCAAGAATTGAACCCAGTCCCTCCACAACTTCAACATCTTTTCCTTTACCCCGCTGCATCTCTGCTTCAAACCCATCAGAGACACCCAGACTTGAAATTCAGCTTGGTGTTATGGTGTAGGCAATCTTATCCCCTGTCCTACCAGACTGAGCCAGGGTCACATGGGACTACAGCAGTGAGAACAGAATCTGTTATCCAGGCAACAGACATCTGCTGAGTAGTCACACACGATCCCAGCATTAAGAACACAAAGGTGAACAGGACAGACAAGGTCATTGCTGTCATGGAGTTTGTATAGCAAAGTACTAAAAATACTCACAAGGTAATCTCAAAAAGTCTTCATGTATAAACATCATATTGTTTCATTAGTATGATAAGGAAAAAACATGTCATAATGTCCCCAAGAGAATGACTTCAACCAAAGCAACGACCCAGGCCACACCTGCCTTCACTTTAACTAACCCATTGTGAGCCATTTTGAGTTGACCTTTGAAGGTCTTAAGAGATTTTTGATGTGCTATAAGGTTTGGGTGTTTTGCATGTGGATATCCAGTTGTTCCAGTATATTTATTGAGGGTATAATCCTTTCTCCACTTAATTGCTTTTGCATCTTTGCCAGAAATCAATTGTCTGTTATGTGGGTATCTATTTGGGGACTTTATATTGGTACTTTGGTGGTTTGTCTATCTTGAAACCAATGCTGTTTAATCATGATTGGTGTGAGTTTGTGATAAGTTGTGGGACTAGGGAGGGTTTGAGCTCTAATTTTGTTCCTTTATCAAAGTTTCTTAGACTATTCTGCTTCTTTTCTATTTTTACAGAAATGTAAGAATCAAAATATCAATCTTTATGAAAAATGATGTTGGCAGTTTGATAAGGGATGTGTTTTGTTTTTTGATCTTTATTATTTTCTTCTATTTGCTTTTGGTTTTATTCTTTTATTTTTAACCTCTCAAGGAAAGATATGAGCATATTTCATAATTTTCCTCTTTTCTAATAGATGTATGTGGTGTTAAAAAATTACAAAAAAAAATCTTCAGTGTTAAAGACAGGGAGTGATAGCGACCCTCAAGTCTCCCATCCCTACAACAGCAACTGCTCCATTTTAAATTTGATCCTGGGAAGGCAAGAGCACTAAAACAAGAATAACAGGCTCCAGAGAGCCAATGAACTCCCTGAAGGGCAAACTCTTCATAACTTCAGGTGACACTGTTTGCTCATCACACTGGCTATGGTTTTCAAGGAGCAAATGCTGAAGCTTTGGACAACCCTTGCTGGGCATGAACTCCCCCAAAGACATGCCCATTTGCAAAGGATAAAATGGGGGTTTCAGCAAGACACTGCTAAGGTGCAGAAAACGGGCACAGGGACGTGGAGAGAGAAGGAGAGAGAAACACTCAAGATCTGAATTTCCAGAAACAGTCCTGGAAAGCTTCAATCACAGATTGACCAAGGAAAATAGCTTCCCTTTCTCACAGCAGAAAATATGTCAGGTGATGAACGCTTCCTTCTGAGATTCAACTTCCACCAATGCATCCCAGGAGTTTCCCAGTGTGGGCATCTCTCATCAGCAATGGGGAAGCCTCCATCAAAAATCACTGGGCTGAGAGCAGCTGGCCAAGGCCAGAAGCATGTCTGGGATAGAGAAGAGTAACCTGGTGAGCAGCCCTCTGTGGATGGAGCCTCCCAACAATGGGAAGTCTCCAAAGTGCAGGTGAAGAAGCCCAGCTCATGAGGAAGCAGAAAAGCAAGTCCTAAAAATGGTTCTGAGGGCTGAGCTTCCAAAAGTTGTCTTGGGTACTCAAGATACTGATGGACTAATGTGGTTTTAGGATCAAATTCTACACTATGGAACTGGTGTCTGGAAAACAGTGTGCTGTCCCGGAAGACGCTACATGGGAGAGGGAGAGAAAAGGAAATTATGGGGAAGAGACTTAAGAGATCAAAAAAGAGGGTCTTTTCCTGAAGCAACAAGGAGAGCTCAATGCTGGTGTGATAATGAAGACATGGGGCTGGGCTGCTTAAATAAATGACCACCGTCCTGGGACATTCACAGTGGTATTCAAGGATCACCATGAGGACTCCAATAGGTCTCTTTCCCCTCTACTAGGCAGGGCCAGGAAGGCTGCTCTGTCCGTGAGTTCGAAAGCCAGAGCTGCAGCAAGCCACAGAGCACGACAGGAAGGCACAGGGTTATTAGGTGAAATCAGATGCTAAAGGGGCAGAAGCTGAGAGCTAACAACAGATCTGCTGCAACTGTGTAGTCAAAGACTTAGCAAAAGGAGTCTGGAGCTAGAAGCTGCCATATCCAGGGCGATGATGGGTAAGATGATGGGTAAGGTGGATGATGGGTAAGAATAAAGAATGTGAAGAGGAGATGATTAGTTAGGAGGAACTAGACAACGCTGGGAACCTGCTCTATGTATTTAAATGTAATGCACTCTAACCAGGTTCAAGAGGAGAATCACACACTTGTCCTTTATCAAATGCCGAGTTCTAAAGGTATTGTAGCTTCCAGCAAGTATCGGTATAGACAATTATCTGAGCAGAAAAGATTCAGCTGATAATTTAAGTCAAGATTCTATTGTCCAGCGAATTGTACTGTCCCTTATAAAACCCTGCCTTATTTCGGTCTGGGCATGTTGTTAAGGCAAGGCCACAGCAGCAAAATAAAGGAATTAACAAATGTACTGTGATGACTTAAAAACTATCATCATCCATACCATGGAACTCTATGCAATCATTTTAAAAAGGGCTGAAGAAGTACTCTGAGTAATCATATAAAAAGACCTAGTTATATCAAGTATAAAATAAAAATAAAAAAGCAAGATGCAGAATCATGTACACAACAGGACACCTTATAAAAACAATAGGAACACTTGTTTTAATTTACCTAAAGCCCACAAATTCAGTGGTCAGCTCTGCTCTTGTAACTTACTGTTCACGTGTGGATGAGTTGTATGATTAGCTTCCCAGCAGGCCCTTTGAACTGAACTATATGCCAGATGTTTAACCACACAAAACATATACCCCTATTTTTTTAATCACACATAAAAATACTGAGTTGTGATCCTTCTCATCATTCCCCCAATTAAGGAACTGGAGAAGGCTCAAGATACTTCTGAAGGTAGAATAACACAACTCTTTAGCAAACTGTAATCTCTAAAATTAGAGGAAAACACGATACCACATTATCAGATGCCTGTTCTTAATCCACAAGGAAGCTGACCCAGCATACTGGTATCTTGTTGAGTACACAGAGCCTGAAGGCAGCTCCCTGACTCTGAATCCCAGTAGCTGCTTCCTAGCTGTCATTAGCACCAACCTGAGCACATCCATGTATCCTTTCTGCTTCCATTTTCTCAACTAGAACATAAGGATCATGCCACAGGATGGCTGCAGGGGTGAAATGACTTAATCCTCACACGGTTCCTGCAACACTGCAAGACTTGGCCAATTCAGCTCCACCCAATCTGTGGGACTCCAAAGCCCTCCAACTTCTCTCCGGAGCAGTTTCCTACAAGTACACCCAAACTAGTAACACTGTCTAAAGCTGGGAGTAAGGAGCCCAGATTAACTCAGGATGCAGGTAGGATGCTAAGGCCAGGTCACCCTAATTAAAGAGTTAAAGAAAGCAAAGTAGAGACAGGGCTGTGGAGAACAGGGTTGTTGGGGCTGGAAATTGACCTGAAAGCAACTTAGTCCAAGTAGTGTCCATTAAGTTTGTTTCCCATATTGGACATTCACAGCCATTTTCCTTTAAAAACAGAACTGTACTCTGAACAGTTGCCCCCACTACAAGCCACTGAGCTAGATGGAGTAGGAAGCTAGGGAGCTGAGAGCCCTGGGAAGGGGACGTTTATGTGAGACCCAACCAAAAAGGGAAATGACATGAAGTTCAGGCAGAAGCCAAAAGAAGCCACATTAGGGGGAAAAGGGGAAAGAGTCGCTGGGTCTTTATTATCTCAGCCCTACTGCCTCCCAGGCTAACCAGCTGAGACACCACCACTGTGGGCAGGATTTCCTGAGTACGCAGACCCGTGACCTCACGCCTCATTGTCTTTTCACATCCACGCCTGTGAGACTGGAGGTAAAGATGACCCCTCCAAAGCTGGATGCCAGCCAGAGGACAGCAGGCATGGGGGATGGCAGGCACAGCTGGCAAGGACAGAAGCGACCCAGAAAAACCATCTCAGACTCGAGATGGGTCCTTTGCTGCTCTGGGTCCTCTGCTCTGGGTGCCTCTGGAAGGACCCAGGGCAGCAAAACCACTCTGCTGTTCCCACTTCTCTTCCCTGGTGAGATTAAAGAGAAAGAGGCCACCTGAGACCAGTGCTGTGAGTGGTTCCGCAACGTGTGATTTAAAACTACAGTGAATGTTCAAAGTTTTAAAACTTTATTGCATCCTTTTCCCATCATTCTTGCCACCTTCCAAAGCAGC